AGGCTGTAAACTCTCCTGGGGGCGGGGCTAGGCTGAAAACCCAGGTTGAGAATGATGGAAGCTCCTCCCCATTTTGTGCGCAGCTCAGTGCCAGTGAGGTTACTACTCCCCGTTCCTGGGCCTGTCCAGGTCAGGAGAGAGGAGCAGACGCCTCACCTCTTGACACAGTGAACGAGCTAGAGCTCTATCCCATCCCCTGTGTAGCTTTTTTAGCTCCGAAAAATGAGCAGGCACTCCCAGACACTAGGCTTATTTCTGCCCTTCTCTCTTTCCACAGGGGAACAGACGGAGGCTGAGATCCGCGCGCAGCAGCCTTGGGCTGCAGGGAAGGAGGATCGGTGGAGATATGGTCTTAGGAGAAGGAGCGTGACGCTCAGCGGTGCTAAGACAGGGCTATGCGGCCAGGCTCCCAAAGAAAGCTCAGTGAGCGCCTTTGTTTTCCTTTAGTAGCTGGGCCTGGTTCGGAGTCACTGAACTCATGTGTATCCTCAGCACTGAAGGGCAGCTTTGGGTCGGTTCTGAGCTGAGCCTGGACAGAGAGATGCCTGTGATGCTGGCCGTATAGCTCAAGGGAGAGTCCATATCTCGGTGCAGGTACTACAGGCAGAAACAGGTCTTCCTCCTGGACACAGCAGCAACTATGAAAGGGACTAATAGGAAAGCAACACAGTCAGGTTTTAAGTCAGTTGGGTGGCTCTGGCTGCTAAGGACAGTGTCACTGGAGGAAAATGGAGTGGATATTTCCCACCATGCTGGAGCTGGAACCCAGGCCTGGTGCACGCTAGACAAGCGCAGTACCACTTAGCTGCATCTCTCGCTCGGAAGCAATGAACGTTGAGGAGAGTATGGTGGGCACTTGGAAAGCTTCAGATCCTGAGCCCAAGAAGCTCCCCCGGGGCACCAGATTCAACGTTTAAAGGCTCTCGCCACCCACACTTGAAATGTAATTCTTTTGTGCTAGAAGATTAAGATGTATTTGGAAGGGTTTTGTTTTGTTTCTGCAATTCTTCAGCTGCAAAACCTGTCTCTACTGCAATTTAGTGAAAGTCACCGAGCATGCCAGAGGACTCACTCCTTGACATCGTGTTGCGGAACCAGGGTCCAGCCGGAATCCCATGCCACACCTATAAGGGTCCCAGGCTATGGACATCCCAGGCCTGCATCCCACCTCCACCCATGATGTTTCTTCTATAGCCCAGTGAGCCAGCCCCGTGCTCTGTCCCTGGCCACCCAGGAGCGAGGTCAGCCTAGAGTCTGAAGAAAGACTTGAGGTTTGGGATGGAAGAATTCCAGGGTCTTAGATCTGAGTCAGGTAACAGGATGACCTCCGAGTAAGGTCCCAGATAAGCTGAAAGTGGTGGATCGGAGTGGAACCCTGGCGTAACCCCTGGAAACATCAGGCTTAAGGGCGCAAAGTAAGAAGACCATTTCAAAGGTACAGACTGCTTTACATTGTTGCTTTGAGCGGTTAATGTGACAGACCTAACCCCAGCTCACTGTCTGTTTTCTGATTCCTGACTGCTGCAAAGGCCCCTGAGACACTCATTCATCTTTGCCTGATGGATCTGGTGGCTTAGCTGGGACACCAGCAGGGACACTGCTTTCCTGGTGAGGGGTGGGAGCTAACAGCTGAGCCAGTGCCATGAGGGCTTTGCCAAATGCAGTCCAGAACGCTCCTGCATCCAAACTGTCTGCCTTCCTGATCGGGCACAAGGCGTTCAGGAGAATATGCCATCTCCTTCTGCTCCTGGTCCCCTGCTGTCAGGCAAAGGGAGAGGCAGGCTCTGAGCCACCCTAGCAGGAGTGCTCTGGGCTGGCTGCCAAGCTGGACAACAGGGACACACACTCCTGGCTGCCCTTCGGCTTGCCTTACCTTCCTAGATGGGCAGCCTATGATTCACCACTTCCCTGGCTGTCATCACGCGTGAGATATCCTTTCTGCCTCCAATTTTCTCACTTCTGGGAAACCTCTCGGCAGCCCAGATTCACGACTTTGAACTTTTCTGAGACTCCAGCTCCAGAGCGTTGGGACCGACCTATTTTCTTACCATCCTGGTCCCCTGCTGCACTCCGGATGCAATTCCATCCTTCAGGTTTCCCCCCCACACTTTAACTGCATAGCTCTTCTCTCTCAATCCCCACACAGTAAAGAATCTGACCTAAGGTGTCTCAGTCAGTAAAGCACCCACTGTGAGGAGCCAGGACCTAAATTTCTATCCCCAGGTGAAAACTGGACGCCTTGACACATGCCCGTAACCCCAGCACAGACTGGGTTCAGGGAGAAGACAGTCAGAGCAGCTGATGAGCTCTGGCCTCAATGAGAGACCTTGTCAGAAAAAAACAAGATGAAAAGCAAATAAGAAAGGTACGTGATGTCCATGTCTGGCCTCCACACACATATGTACACTCCAGGGTACGAGTGAGCACGCGCAAAGCATGCGTGCACAGAGCACCCATGCACAAAGCGTGCATGCACATACACAGTAGACACACGAAAAACAAAGACGTAAACATAGAACCAAACTGCAAAGAATTGCATCAGAGAAAGAACCTGCCAGAAATCTCCATTTCTACAGACATTCATCTAGATGCACCTTCGAACCTCTCTCCTCCGGCAGCTACCTCTCCCACACTCAGCAGGTACCGCCTTCTCCCTACCCTCTCCCCTACCCACTCCTCACTGTCCTGCAATCCGGTGGCACTTGCTGCCTCTCGTGGATGTAACGAAGCCCCTTTGTAGGGCTGGTTCTGCTGCTAAGGTCCTGTTTCCCAGTTGGTTCATGATCGATCAATAAAGATGCCAGGGGCCAATTGCTGGAGAGAGAGAGAGAGATATCCCCGGAGGCAGGCTAAGAGATACAAGGAAGGAAGGGAGATTTTGGAGGGAGAAGAGGTGACCAGCTATGTAAGATCTTGGGTGGAGCAACCATAACTAAGCAGAGGGCAGAATAAGAGGTCCTGAACTAGGAGAACAGGAAAGGGCACGCTAGCCGTGGCAGATTAAAAGTGCCCAGCAATTGAGCCAATAAGGCAGGTTGAAAGTAAGTTGTGTGTGTGTGTGTGTGTGTGTGTGTGTGTGTGCATGTTTCATATGAGGATCTTAGAGAACCTGGGCAGGGATGTTAGAGTGGTTCGCCCAGAGCTTGAAGCGGGGTAGTAAAAACTATACACAATACACCCCTTGGGACAAAGGGAATCATGAACTCCTCAAACAAAAGATTCCTAGTGGGCTTGTCCTGGTCATGTGACTTTGAACCTGGTCTTATATCTTACAGCCTCCAGAAGGAAACACCCTGCCAAGTGAAGGAAGGCCCTCTCCATGAACGGTTGAGTTTATTTGGGTTACTTATGGGAACATGGGTAACTCTCAGGCAGTTGTATCACGATAGCATGGGTGGTGACTCAGGAAAGATGTGTCCTGGGGTTCATGCCATAACTTGCAGCCCACCCCACCACTGAAGAATCTACTTTCCCCAGCATGTATTTTTTTATAGAACCTTGGGGTTTTGTGAGTCTTACATTTCTTGATCATGAGCCTTCCCTCTTCCCCTCAGGGATTGTTTCGGTACAAAGGAATAAAATGTCACATAACAGAACTAAACTGTTTCCATCCCAAGTCCCAGTGCCTCAAATAGTGACTTCATTTGGATAATGAATCTTCTCAGTAATTAAGGTAGTGTGGTTGTGGGGGTCAGAGAAAGCCATGTGGTTAATATTCTTGTATAAAGAATAGACAGGAGATCACGGAGCGGGGCTGATGAGAGCCCCCTAGGGAGATGACCAGTATGAGCCGGAGAGAGGGGCTTGGCACTGACCTTGCCTCATAGCCTCCAGAAGGAGTAAGTCTGTCCACGCCTGGCTCTTGGACACCAAGAGCCCACCTCCAAAGCCTGAGACAACCATGGCTTGCTGTTGAGATTCAGCTATGGCAGCCCAGGGACCAAAGCCACACATCCTGCTACGTTTCTAATGGGAGAGTCACATGGAGCACTGGCCGGAGGACCAGTGCTCTTGAGTCCTCTCTTACATGGGCAGTCATTAAGAACTGACTGCATCTGCCCCATGCTTACATACTAGGCTAGATGCCAGGGCACTGACTTCTATGAGCCCTCTCTTCCTCTCTTTACACGAGACACCACCCCACATCCATGTCAGTGGAATCCACTTTAGATAGTGGAAAATCAGTAAGCACACAGTAGGTCTAACAAAGGCCTAATGAATGGACTTCATAGGGGTTTATGATAGCTCCAAGTTTGTCCATGTACAAGTCTGTGCACGGATGTGGGCGAGAAATATTTTAGTTTTCAGAAATACCCCCCCCAACAAAACTAATCGTCATTGGAGTCCAAAATAGTTCCCTATATTTTCCGCTGTGAAGAGCTGCCCCTGGTCTGTAGGGCACAGAACCGTGAGCCTGAGTGATGGCTCTCATCAGCTTCCACAGGCTTGGCCCACCTTCCATGGGTGTAGATCATGGCTCTGAAATACAGTTTGAAGTGAGGTAAAACTTCCTGAGTGTAGCCAGCTGCATGTAAAGGCATCTCTTAAGGATTAACAGGCAGATTAGCAGTGAGTGCGTTACATCATTCCAAGCTGGACTTTTGGAAGCCCTCTGTTGTGAGGTAGAGAGGTGAGGGAGGGGGAGGGAAAGAAAAGGAAGGGAGGAAGGATGGAAAGAGAAGGGGGGAGGGAAGGAGGAAAAGGAGGGAGAGGAAGGAGGAGGAGGGAGGCTGAGAGGGAGGGAAACATACCACACTGAGGAAAAATTTAGTCTCAACAGTGTGTGTGGACAGTGTGCTGCTCCTCCTCAGAAGGACTGTAGCACAAGAAGTCACAAATGGCAATGCTGTTTTGCCCTTACCCATGATGAATGATTTCAGAGGCCAAGTGTCTCTGTGAAAATCCCCCGGGCATATGCGCCCTTTTATCTTCATGCCACTGTGCTTCTTGAGGGGCTGAAGAAACTGGGGTGAATTAGCAGCTGGCTGGAGCATCCTGACCTTTGAGAGATGAGGAGAGGCATGCTTCTAGGTTCCATGGAGACACGGGATAGACTTGCTGAGTATCCTGTATCTTGCGGGAGTGTAGGAAGGAGCGGTCCTGTGCATGTAAGGTGCAGTCCTGACATTCATGTCACACCGTCATCTAATGAGAGACCACAGAAGACACGGTACTAGGCTGGGTAAAGCTGGAGGTCCCCACAAGGGTAAGAGATTGAGAGGGGACTGAGATTCATCAGGAGCCACCTTTGTCCTTCATCCTCACAGTCACCTGTAAAGAAGTTGCTTAAGAAGCTTACTTGGTACTCAAGAAGTTTACTTGATGTCTTAGTTAGGGTTGTACTGCTATAAACAGACACCATGACCAAGGCAACTCTTATAAGGACAACATTTATTTGGGGCTGGCTTACAGGTTCAGAGGTTCAGTCCATTATTGTTAAAGCTGGAGCATGGCAGCATCCAGGCAGGCATGATACAGGCAGAGCTAAGAGTTCTACATCTTCATCTGAAGTATGCTGGCATATACTGGCTTCCAGGCAACTAGGATAAGGGTCTTATAGCCCACACCCACAGTGACACACATACCTCAACAGGGCCACACCTTCTAATAGTGCCACTCCCTGGGCTGAGCATATACAAACCATCATACTTGGGTACCAGGATTATATCTGCGGGATAGTATGCCCAGCCCCTGACTTCTTGTTGGTGACCTTTGAGAGCCTGCCCTTAGTGTTTCTTCCTGTACCTTTCTGTCACTGACTGCCTTGGGAACTAATGAGGATTCTGAGCCCCAAGGTGATTAAGTAAAAAAGACCCAGCTAGTGCTTTAGTCAAAACAGGGGTGGGTAGGACTGGGGAGATTGCTCAGTGGTTAGAGCACTTGCCACACAGGCGCAAGGACCAGATTCAGACCCCCAGGACCACATACTTGCTGGGTGAGAAAGGCAGCTGCCTGTATGTAGTTCCAGCTTTGGAAAGCAGAGATGGGATCCCTGTAACCCCCTCTGACTAGCAAGACTAGCCGAACTCGTGAGTTCTGAGTTCAGCTGAGAGGCCCTAAGTCAATGAGTAAGATAGAAGAGCAAGGTGGGTGATTTCTGACATCAGCCTTGCACCTCTGCATACAGGGGCGCACACATGCACACATGCACACGCACGTGCAAACATACACACACTGAAGATACGACAAAGAATGGACGAGTGGGTGAAAGCGGCTCTAGTATCAACAGGACCGAGGGACACTCCAAGGAGTCCTTGGTCACTTACCAGAGCTTGTGGAATGTCTGACGTCTTGTTCTTACCTAGAATTTTACTCGGATTAGCACAGCTCCTCAGAAACTCAGCCTGAACGACGTCCATCCACCGTAAAATTGAAAGAGAAAGTTACAACACTGTGTGTTCCATGGTGAACATTCTCCTACGTGGAGACAATGGAAAGGACCACTCAGCACCTCTCCCCCACAACTCGGATGCTGGAACAGACTCAAGGCTATCTCTCTTCGGCTCCCCAGACCAGGAGTAACCTGGAAGAGAACCCTGTACCACAGAGCGGGGGCCTGCTCTCAGTCTTCCCAGGAGCAGTCGGGTTTCCACACGACATGGACAGCCCAGAGGACTGGAAGTTGGGTGTGAAACATGTGCAGCCAGTTTCAAGTCCACCAAGATGGAGAATTTCCTCCTAAATCAAGTCTGTGGCCAAGGCTCTGGTTTCCACGCCACTGTTGTCTTGACATTTGGTGACCGCAAGAGATGTCAGGACAAGTTACATCACTTCCCTTTTGCCTGAATATAGATATTTCTATATTTCTCCCCCTGCAGTACTGCTGACTTTGGGGCTGGGAGGATACTTCCTGGTAGGGGCCATCCTGCAAACTATGGGAAGTTGTGGGGTGACCCTGGTCTCTATCCATGGGAGGGTAACACCAACTCACCCACCCAGTTGTGACAACCCAAAAATGTCTCTAGACATTGCCCAATGGACCCCAGAGGGCAAAGTTGCCCATCGTAAGAACCATTCCTTTAAAGAGCTTGAAACTGAGTCCACACATAAACCAGAGTCTGCCGATTTCAAATGTGCCAGTTTGCCACACCCTCCTCACTGGCCCCAGGTTACTCTCTTGCAGAGGCCCCTTGAGACCCAGTTACAGTCTTTTAGCCACGCTTTAGACCCTAAACAAGAACCTACAGGAAATGCCCTCCTGAGCTCTCTCTGGCTCAGGCTAGCTTAGGACCAAGGGATGCCCTGGGAAGGGAAAAGATGGGAAGGGAGGGCTACTGTAGCACCATTTGCCCGGACTACCCACCACACTTCATTCTGATGCCCCACTTGACAAGCCAGGCAGCCCTGACTGCCCAGCAGGTGGCGCCTTGACTGGCAGTGTTGCACACTTTACTCCATTCCCCTGATGTGTCTGACCCATGCAGGCCTGAATCCACAGACCCTTCATTAACTTATTCCCAATTAAACCCTTGTGACAGTGCCATCTGTTTCCTGCCTGTTAAAGCCAATAACGGCAAACTTGGGATGAACAGTGAAATCTTCCCTTCCCTGGAGGGAAGCCCTTGAACACACCACAGCTCTTTATCAAGGTTTCCCACCCAGCAAGCTTTCTGCTGTCCTCACTTGAGTGGCACCCCACCTCTACAGCCTTCTAATCTGGGGTGCTAATGCTCTTAAGGTGTTCTTTCTCCACCTCGGGTTATTTCTGTCCACTTTATCTTCTCCGCTGGACTTAGGGATTTGGGATGAGACCAGGAAGGGATTGTATCTCACCCTATTTACCTGAAAAATTCTTTTGTTTCCCATTTTTTCATCAACACCTTTTTTTATGGTAGTTCTAGGAAGAGTCTGTGAGACTCCCGGCTTTTTAGAGTCCCTGGGATTTATCCTTTTGGTTTTCAGAGTCTGTTCCCCAAGCTCATACCTGCACCTCTGAGTGCTGTGAGTCCCTGTCCATTCCAGAAAACCCCTGGCCTGGGAGGAGTTGATAATATGGAGAGAGGGAGGCCTATAGTTCCCTTGAAGGCTGAAGAAGACAATTCCTAATAGGAGTAGCCTGGGAAGCAGGGCAAACCCACACTGATGGGGGCATTTTCAAAACCTCTTCTCGCTCAGCCTGACAGGGTTCTCTGGGTACCCTGGGCTCTTACATCTTACTTTGAGGTTTTCCTTGGACTGCTCAGAGCTAAACAAGACCTCCTCTATCCAATCACTGTCCACTTGTTGAAGAGCAAATTTACTAAGCAGGCTTGGGTGCCAGCCACTGGGGTCAGCTCTCCTCACTGGTGGATAATTGATTCAATGTACTCTCACTTAAATCCACCCCCCAAACCCACAGGCAATTTTATAGCAGAGGGAGCTAGAGACGTACTGAATCACCCGCCCACCACATTTGGGTTCTGACTGCCCTAGCTGCCAAACCAAGAAGCCACCACTGCCCAGAAGGTAGCACCCGTGGTTATCAGTCATACACACTTTCCTCTCTCATTCCTGCTTGACCCTGGCAGGCCTGTATCCACAGTCTCTCTAACTTATTACCAATTAAACCTTTGTTTAAGTAGATATAAATCCAATTAAAAATTATCGTAAGTAGTTTCGGTGGAAACAAGGTGAGCTGATCTGGTTTGTCCTTAAAGGAAGTTATTGTCCAACAATAGACAACCCCTGGCTAGGGTTGGGAGGCCAGATGCCTGGGAGGAGCTGATAATAGGGAGAGAGGGAAGCCTATAGCTCCTTCACAGGCTGGAGAAAACAATTCCTAATAGGAGTAGCCTGGAAAGCAGGGCAAACCCGCACTGAAGGTGACATCCATTTCTTCCAAAGCTCCGCACTAGGAAACCGAATGCCTAAGCCCAAACCACTGTCCCTCTGGATGCTCAGCCCAAACTCAAACACAAAAGGTTGACTCAGCACTCAGAGGACCTAGCTATGCAGGATGGGCAGGATAGAAGTTGAGCCTGCCAGCTGGTGGTCTTGGAACTAAAAACTTACTGGGGCAATGAACCCCACACTGTAGTGTGTCGGGCTATACTTCTTTACAGCTGCCCCAGAAGTCTAGGAAGTGGGACAAATGGTATGGGTCATGGGCATCTGAGAGGGGGCAATGGGAAGGGCTGACTCTAGTGCTGAATTTAGGTGAGGGCATCATCTTTCATGCCTAGCATGAGACAGAGTCTGTGCCAGTCTGTAGCTGGCAGGTCCTCTTGGAGCCTTGCTGAACCTCTAATGAGACATCAGGGGCATCCTCTGCTTTGCCACTTCAGAGTTGGGCATGGAGTGTCTAAAGCCTTCTTGAAGAAGTATCCCCAAGAAGGGCCAGGGCCTGAAGAAAAAGTGTTAGTATGATGTGGATGGTAATTTTATAACCTGGAAGCCTAGGCCATCCTGGAAGAGGTATCCCTCAGATAGGGATGTGTGTGTGTGTGTGTGTGTGTGTGTGCGTCACACACAGACACCTTGCTCAGCAAGGAACGTTTTATGCAGTACTACGAGTCATGGATGTCCAGCAAATGTCTGTCAAGTGGATCAAGGATGTGCAGCCCTGGGCCGTACACCACGAGACCAGGAATGTGGGCAGCAGCAGCTCATTTCCCTGAAGCCCAGACTTCTTTTTGTTCCATGGCCCAGACACAATAGCTTCAGATCCACTCTTTTCTAATTTAAATTTGTACTATGCTTACTAAATTGATAGTATTTATCTTTAAAATATCAAATTACC